CCGAGGAGGAAATGCCCCAAATCCGTCTTTCCAGCTCTTCAGGTTTTGCCCAGGAGACCCTGGTGAATGTTCCCAGCCCTGGACACCGCTGTCGCGTTTGGACTGGCTTGTTGTCAGTTTTCTTAAACGCAGTTCCTAACATTATTGTAACAATACTCGCAATTCACATTGTAGGCTTTCTAATACATGTAATAAAACATTAATGTAACAGGTCCTGAATAATTCATTACTTTTTCCTTCACTGATTTGTGACCACTTACATGACATTGCACCCTCACACAAGCTGTCATGCTTGAGCATTTTTTCTGTGTGAATCCCCTGTTGCTGTAGAAGAGCTGAGTTCCCCTCATCGGCAGTCTCTTCCAGAGCAGCAACACACTTGTGCTGGGTTCACAGCCAGGAATTCTCACCATAGACATCCCATTGTGCTAATAACTTCCCAAAAATGGAACAGAGACTGTGATGAACCAGTGTTGCTTAAAAACTTGAGTATGAGCTCCAACTGAGGCACACACCTCTTCATCTGTGTTTAGAATCGCTTCCAAGTTGTATCAGTTCCACCAGAATGGTACATACTTAATCAGTCCTATGGAGGATTTTGGAAACTGGACCTTTACAGCTTCAGCTACGTCCATTATTTGCCTTTCAGCAAAGGTTCTTGGCCATTTTGAGCAACTGCAGTTACATGTACATGTATTTCCTGGGGTATTCCCAGCCAGGCAGGCTCACGTGCCTGGCAGCTCACCTGGTGAACTGTTTAACTTTGAGGCAGAGCCTGACTGTCTGACTACACCTGAGTAAGCTTTCTTGTCCTTAAGTTTTGGGCACAAGGTACATGCAATTATTGCTCTGTTTAAACTGTGAAATAAGTAATCTTATGGCTTGTTTTACACACCCACACCACTTTTTTAATTAAGAATATAATCCCTGGAGCAATCTAAAGAAACTGTCTACATCCTATTTAATAAACAGGGAAAAATAACCCAAATGACCCCATACCATCACTTTTTACCTAGAAAAATACCAAAATTGAGGGCAGTGTAGTCACTGAGGGGTTATTACCAGGTTCTTTCAATACCATTTCACATGTTTCTCACATTATTCCCTGGCTGGTAGATCATACTTTCTTACATTCTTTTTGTATAACCTCTAAACAGAGATTAGGAATTGGTACTACTTCTTTCTCAAAGGAGAATCAGAAAGTCAACTTTATAAAGCCTGTTTTGTGTGCACTGCAGTGGTATTGTATTTACACGTTTATCTAACACACCCACTCTGTTTATCCAGACAGACTTAAAAAAGGATAAAAATACAAGTCTCCCTGTATCCAAATAAAAGCAAACTAGAGGAGGTAAGCATGGGAATTGCCTGCAATTGCCTGACAAACTGCTAGAAACGCTGCTTTGGGAAACAGGCAATGACTTCACTGTCAGTAACAGCTATCTACTATTGATCCACAAAGACTTTCTTTCCCCAAACTGATAGACACAGTGAAAACTTCTCCTATTTTACTAGAACTGGATACAGAACATAGGCTGAGGAGAGCCTTCTCTCCCAGGAGTATATTACGTTAGTAACCCTGATCCTCTGCGTAAATACCTCATGTGAACTTTATCTTAACCGCAGTCTCCGGTTACAGAACTTCAACTAAAGCAGGTTATCGAAACATTGCAGGAACAAAGGTAATTTCCAAGTATGACCATTAATCACCCCTGCCAAGCATAATCACCTACTGAGCTCTCTTCATTGTTCCATTAAGACAGGTACTTTATCTTAATTAGAACTACTACTTCAAAAATTAACACTAAAGACAATTAAAAATGGCCTAGCAGAACAAACATTATGTTCTCTCACCCCCTAACTCCATCAAATTCTCTAGTGTGGAAAAGGAAGTATGAAGGACCAGTCAGATTTCTGACTTCTTCCATCATTAGAAAGCCACAGATTTTTTTTTCTACCAGAAATACTGAGTACTTCTATATATAAACACTCTATAGGGGTAATAGCCCCCTTTGCACTGTGTGCTGTATAACCACCATTTACAGCCTGTCCTGGAAAACTGGATCTGCAGTTTTACATGTATGGTTCTTCTAAGCAATCTTTTTGTTTCCTGTGGTGAAGACAAATGTAAATGTGATGTCATGATGCTTCAGTCTCTGTCTTGCAGAAACTCTTCAGGTAAAACAACAGCCATAAAATACTTCCTTAAACCATGACACTCAGTGAGGGCAATATCAAAGATGAAGAAAGATTACACCTGCACAAACACTATGTCAGCCCCTGCCAAGCCAAATCGAGTATTGGTTTCCTAATGAAATAGGAATCAGTGATGTTGATTTGAGGCACGGTCTTAGTCCAACTGGTGATGTCACAGACAAGATTTATACACTGATGGAGGTGCTTTCTTCCAAGAAGCTCAGCAGCATACTTTTATATCCCTCTTAAAAAAAAAAAAAAAACAGATCTGGAACAAAATGCCTGCGGGAACAAGAAGTTAAGAGCTCACACCTTTTAGGTTAATGAAGAGGAGGTGATAAACGTGATCTGGGATGCGGTAGGTATCAAAAGATGAGTAAAACTAATCACTGGAACAATCTAGGAATTTTCTTTTTGATCACAATGTATGTAGTCTTGAAATAGCATCAGTAATCAGCAAGCAAAATTTCACAAACTTATTTTGTGACTTATCAGCAAACAGTTCAAATGTGGCAAAATGAGAAATTAACCATTTTGACAGCAAAGATTTTAAATAAAAATCATAAAAATCGTACAGTCTTGAGAGTTTCCAGAAAATTCCAAAGGCAGCAGAAATTAAGATCAGTCAGGAAGGCTCTGAGGGGACATACTCCATTTTGTGGTACAAACCTCAGTTAGTTCAGAACAGTGTTCCTTGGTAAGAACGAAGTTACACCAAACATGAATCTTATTATTCTAAAGAAGTCAACAAAAGTGTACAGATGTTCTGTTAACAGAAGGAAGTGGGGCATCAAGGGACATTACCTTTCTTAAAAGGGATATATTTGAGATGGATTCCTGAGCCCTTGCTTTGGTAACCAGGGAGATAGGTATAAGATATATCAAATCTCAGAATATTTACATATCTTACAGTTCAGGTATGGAAATAATTTCTGCAACATAAGTTTATTTAAGAGTAGGCCTTGAATCTGTTTACTGGGATTTTTTATCTGTTTTATAAATCTTGTATCTGTATGGGGGCAAGGGAGAACTGATGATACCCGCTCACACTAATAGCACACAAACCATTGCTGCATTTTAACTGCTAAAATGTAAGAGCAGTTCATTTCTTACAGTGAATGCTGGAAGAAGGGCACTGAACAATGAATCAAAAGTACAGTTTCTATGGTAAAATGCAGCACATGTTCACCATTGCCTGACAAATCAGTGTATGTGTTACCAGTAGAGGGGCAGAGCAAATGCAGGGATTTCTTCTGGACAAATCCATGAGAAATAAGGTTTCAATTTCTTTGCTTCTGAGAGAGTAGTTTGTTGAAAGAACACTTCTTATACTGGAGGCCCTGGAGCTGATCACAGGATTGCAGGTGGAGTCTCATGAGAGCTGAGTAGAAGGGGAGAATCACCTCCCTCAACCTGTTGGCCACACTCCTTTGGATGCAGCCCAGGATCCAGTTGGCTTTCTGGACTGCAAGTACACCCTGCCGGGTAACGTCCAGCTTTTAGATCGGACAATACAGTACTTGACCTTTCCCAAATCCTCAAAAATCTACTCCCCTGGCCCCCAAAAAGTCTGGTTTGGGCTTCATGTGATCCAGTTAAGCCACACATCATATTTCTGAGTAACTCCTATTTTCTGCTAAGCTATCCTGGAAAAATTCTTATCTTGCATGGCCACATTAATTCATTCTCTTTTTTAGTTACTGCAAGTTGTTGCCATTAAGTTTGCACAATGTAATTTGATGTTTAAAATCTCAGTAAATTGCCCCAGCTGCTTATCAGAGGCAGCAACGTGGGCCCAAGTGTTCATTTAGAGGCTAAGCCAGACTCAGTCTGTTTGACGCCTGTAATGTGACTCATCACCTACTCTCTAAAGAGAGGATGACTGCTGTGCTGCAGACGGAGTCGGGACTGCAGCATATTTCCTCTGTTGCCTTGCAACAGTCAATACTGACTCCTCAGAGGGGAAACAGATCTTTGCATTTGGGTCCTGTTTATTGTAACTACCATTCTAAGTGGTTGGACTTACTTGCAGATAATGAGCAACAAGGAAGGTAGATGCAAGCCATACGTTCTCGCATAATGCAGCCTTCCATTTCCAAATGCACCTTCTTCAAAAGATCTCAGCATCTCCAATATCTGAAAGGGCTTACCAGGGTGCCAGGGTGCTGGAGTGACCTCACTTGGAGTATTGTGTACAGTTCTGGGGTCCTCAACATAAAAAGGACATGGAACTGTTGGAACAAGTCCAGAGGAGGGCCACAAGGATGATCAGGGGACTGGAGCACCTCCTGTATGAAGATCAGCTGAGAAAGTTGGGGCTGTTCAGCCTGGAGAAGGCTGCTTGGAGACCTCATAGCAGCCTTCCAGTATCTGAAGGGACTCTTCATTAGGGACTGTAGTGATGGAACAAGGGGTAACAGGTTAACATTTAAACAGGGGAAGTTTAGATCGGATTTAAGGAAGAAGCTCTTTACTGTGAGGGTGGTGAGGCACTGGAATGGGTTGCCCAGGGAAGTTGCGAATGCTCCATCCCTGGTGGTGTTCAAGGCCAGGTTGGACAGAGCCTTGGGTGACATAGTTTAGTGTGAGGTGTCCCTGCTGATGGCAGGGTGGTTGGAACTTGATGACCCTAAGGTCCTTTCCAACCCTAACTATTCCATGATTCTATGATCTCCTACCTTCCCTAAGATGCAGCTCAATATAAACAGGTGGACATTTTGCAAATAAACAGATATTGAGATGTTATTTTTAAGAACAGAAGGAAGCCTATAGTGACCTATGCAGTAAGGCTGGAGGGACTGATCTGATATAACTTTGGGTTATTATTGATGCAAATAAGACAAAAAATAGAGCAAATTCTCAAATAGTTGGTTGAAGGCATATGGATTTAAACGTAACACCCTAGAAAGAATCTTGAAGACCAAGCAGAGATAAAGTGCATACATAATGCAGGTCATTCAATTTTTTTATAGATGCCTTTCAAAATGCTATGTGACCACTTAATCTATTCTCTCTTCTTGGAAATTGTCTGCAGCATTCATACAGTCTTCAAGATCACTGTATCTCTGCAAATAAAATAAAAACTTATTATTTTATCAATGTTTCATAAGTGAATTACATAAAGACTGCTTCTTCTTGTACTTCAATACATTAACAAGCATGCCAACAATTCAGATGTAATGATATCTGAAAACCTGCTAAATACAATTGCACTACATGTTGTCTTAAAATAGTTCATAAAGTGTTTCTGAATAATTCAAAGTACTTCAGCCTAAACAGAAGAATAAATTAGTCTTGCTGTGCCTCATGTATGCGTTCCCAGTGCTTCTAAGTTACAGCTTGAGTTTGTGGTGTTGCTGCTGCCACATGAAATGGGAGCCTGCCCACCACAGCCCAGAGATCATGCAGCTGTCAGAAAGCTTCATGTCACAAGCTGACACAAACTCTGCGTGAACGCAGCAACATACCACTGTGAGAGAGACAGGGTCAGCAGAAGTGGATGAATGGTTAAGCTGAGTTGTATTACTGAAACCCTGTAATTCAGAACTGATCAATTAAATCAGACATTTTATCTCAGCTTGCTTTTATCTACTTGGAAAAGGATACATCAAAGAACTCAGTTGTACCTTCTGAATCCACCCACTGTCTTCCAACTGGCTGAAAAGACGTTCTACTGTGTCTTTGACTGGTTCATCTTCAAAACCATCTAACTCGGTAATGGAGCTACAATGCAGGTACAACTTGTATTTGAAGTGCTTCAAATTATGGTAAACTCTTGTCCGATCTGCACACACCATGCCAACTTCCAAAACCTAGGCCAAAGCAAACAAATCACTCTGTGATAGAACTGTGATTTTCTTGACAATATAAAGAATGGCTAAGTCAGTCCAGTAAGATTTTTTGCCAGTCTAGGAAAATGCTTTGAGTAATGAAATAAACAGAATGACACCACACACATAAAATCAGCGTAAACTCCATGTAGTTTTTACAGCCACAGCAGAATAATTTCTGAGCAAGCAGGCAGCCAGCGAGTCTGTGCAATGGCAGCTTATCGGTACCGTTTTCTTGCACACACAACATGTTCATAGTTGGTAATATCTCTCCTATCTCCTGGTGGAACTTCATTACAAAATCATTAACAATTTAGGCAACCACCATGTTGTGAAAGCAGAGGAAGAGAAATTATTTGATTACTTTTGCTCAGTATGTGCTACTTCCCAGAGACATGAAATACCAGTTTTAGCATTTTGTAGTGTCATAATATTCAATTTTTTTTCAAGAAATACATATGAATGCAAATAGACACACACCTAGAAACATGTATTTAATAAATATATAGAAAGATTGTCTTTCATAAAATTAAAATCTGAAAACTGAGGTTTTATACAATGCAAATGTTAACCTGCAACTGCCTGGGAGGTATAGCTAGCCATAACACTGTAGAAGTCAAAGCCTCTGCTGCATCTCCTACTTATCACATTTTACTTGTACAATATCTATGCAGAAAAGACACAACTGTCTCATTTAATAGTTTTTCTTACAGCAATCTTTATAGATAAACAAGTGGTAAATATGCATGTAAATACATAATCAGAGCATGGATTAGAGTAGATTCATTATCATCTCTCAGCACTAACATTAAATACAGGCAAGTGTTTGCACGTATCTTGAGCTCAGATGTTATTCAAAGATGTTAAGAAGTAAGAAATACCTGAAAATACTGGGCAATATACTAATTGGTTACAAGAATCTTTGGCCATCCTAAATCTTCACAAAGAGTGGGTGAAATTGGAGGTGTGGGGAGGGAGAAAGAATAAAAGTTCATCTGCACTTAAGGACAGATATTCTGCATTTCACAAGAGTGAATTATGTTCCATTTCTACAAGAGCAGGAGTTCAAGTACATACAATGGCAAATCAGAAGAGGAAATCTGTTCCCTGTGAATGACCACAGGTGCACTGATTACTACTCCTACCCATGGAGACAAAGCCTATCAGGTAAGAAATCTACCTTTGGCTGGTTTTCAGAGGTTAGGTTTTGTACACTAAAAAGCAACATGATTAATACATGTGTAAAGAAAATCAGCTCCTGATACATACAGGAGAAACTGATGTAGTTTTACTGAGAAAAAAAGGGTCCATGATCAAAAGTTTGCATCTGTGAGCAGTTCCCCAAAACACCCAATCTACTTGGTATCTAGACCTATTGACAATGACAGCAACAGAAAAGCATAATTATAATGATTTTATAAGCCACATTGATATTTATCGGTGTTATATATGTTCTTAAATATATGAATATACTTAGTTTCTTAAATACATCAACCAGCAGCTCAACTGATATAAGCAGGCATAACATCACTGAAGTTAAGTCACACTCACTTAAAAGACCTTTTGATCTGATCTTCAGCAGATGGTTATTAACTGGAATATTAACCATCTTGAGATCATAGAATCATAGAATAGTTAGGGTTGGAAAGGACCTTGAGATCATCAAGTTCCAACCCCCCTGCCACAGGCAGGGACACCTCACACTAAACCATGTCACCCAAGGCTCTGTCCAACCTGGCCTTGAACACTACCAGGGATGGAGCTTCCCCGTTTAAGTTTTAACCCTTGTCCTATCACTAGAGTCCCTAGTGAAGAGTCCATCCCCAGCATCCCTATAGGCCCCCTTCAGATACTGGAAGGCTGCTATGAGGTCTCCACGCAGCCTTCTCTTCTCCAGGCTGAACAGCCCCCACTTTCTCAGCCTGTCTTCATACAGGAGGTGCTTCTTTCTAGAACAAAGAACCAGTGGTTTAACGTGATCTAGATCACATGTTTTAGAGTCATAGAATCATAGAATCGTGAGGGTTGGAAAGGACCTTAAGATCATCCAGTTCCAACACCCCTGCCATGGGCAGGGACACCTTACGCTAAATCATATCACCCAAGGCCTCATCCAACCTGGTCTTGAACACTGCCACGGATGGAGCATTCACAACCTCCCTGGGAAACCCATTCCAGTGCCTCACCACCCTAACAGGAAAGAATTTCCTCCTTATATCCAACCTAAACTTCCCCTGTTTAAGTTTTAACCCGTTACCCCTTGTCCTGTCACTACAGTCCCTCATGAAGAGTTCCTCTCCAGCATCCCTATAGGCCCCCTATCAGATACTGGAAAGCTGCTATGAGGTCTCCACGCAGCCTTTTCTTCTCCAGGCTGAACAGCCCCCACTTTCTCAGCCTGTCTTCATACAGGAGGTGCTCCAGTCCCCTGATCATCCTCGTGGCCCTTCTCTGGACTTGTTCCAACAGTTCCGTGTCCTTTTTATGTTGAGGACACCAGAACTGCACACAATACTCCAGGTGAGGTCTCACGAGAGCAGAGTAGAGGGGTAGGATCATCTCCTTCGACCTGCTGGTCACGCTCCTTTTGATGCAGCCTATCATACGGCTGGCTTTCTGGGCTGCAAGCACACACTGCTGGCTCGTATTCATTTTCTCATCAACCAACACCGCCAAGTTCCTCTCTGCAGGGCTGCTCTGAATAAAAAATCCCATCACTATATTGAAAACCTCTACTGCTTATGTGCATGTACTTAGGTACAGCTCCATTTTCTACTCTGCCCAAAACTGAAAAGCTGTGTTTGGTGCTACAGGTGCTTCCAGAAGTGCAAGACCTACCAACCAATACATAACCTTGATTCACTCAGATTTCCAGTAACACCATTCCAAATACTGAAACAAACAAGAACTGAGCTGTGGTGTTTCATAGGGCATTTCATAACTTTTCAAGTATCCCAAACATGAGGTGCAGCATCTTGAACATTACGTGATGTAAAATAGAAGATACCATCTTGCATTCAGCAGATGGCCCAGTACTTCCCCTGCAACAACAGCTAACAGGAGATATTTAGGAAGTTACTATAAGATGCAGGATGAACACCAGATCAATCACAACATTACCATACAGCTTCTAAGAGTCAATAGTTAAGCCAGTCTGTATCATCCCAACTATCAAGTTCCGTAAGTGTGGAAAAAGCTTCTCCAAGAACCTGTCTAATTCCTTTTGGGACTCACTAACACTTTTTGATTCCAAAGCATCTTATGGCAAGGAATTTTATAGTTCATTTATGCATGAGGTGTAAAGTATTTCCACCTTGGAGAAATGCCAGAGCCAAATAGCTAAATATTGTATAATGTAATTGTATTGTGTTTTTAAAGCAAGAAAGACTGTCTAAAAATACAATGCTATTTCTGAATGTAGCTTTGGAAAGAATCTCAGTACTGTACTCATGCTAATTTTTTCCTCTCAGTGACTGTGTCCTAATGCTTAACTTATCTCCTCAAGCTGGCCATATCAGCCAAAGTTGTGTTAAATCACTTTGTATGGAATGCAGGAGCACAGCCTGACAACAGCACAACATGTAATGACTGAATCCATGTCCTCTAAGCATGATTACAAACAGAAACAGAACACCAAGACTAAGAGTAGAAAAAGGTTTACAATCCAGGTGACACAGGAGCAAAGAGGTGTGGGGGACACATATACCTCTAAACAATTGAATTCTTCCTGACCACGGAGGAATGAGAATTGGCAGCCACACACAACAATCACTGCAAGCCTAAGCAAAACTGGAACAGCTGTTTCTCTTCTCTTTCTATTGGCAAAACAGAATACTTGAGAGATGAGAGAAAAGGAAAGTTTTATGCAGAAGAGGAGGGCTGGACGTCTGTTTTTTGTTCTCTCTGCATCCACTTTTCTTGGGTATTTTCAAACAAAACTTTAGAAGACAGTCCAACTACGTGCTTCCATTCAACTTGACCTGCCAGTGCTGAACTGCCTCCTCTTTCAGTCAATTAAGTTCCTGAAATGCCAGTTTCATGTAGCTCTGTGCCTTTTCTCTTTATTTCCTCCTTTTTTTCTCAGTTGGCAGGATGAGTTGATCAATGTGTTGCCAGCAGAACTTCAAACACTACTTAAGAACAGTGATTTTAGCAGTCTAAATTACAGGTCATCATAAGAACATGAATGTTGCATTACAAAGGCACAATAGAAAGTTATTGGAAAGTGCTCAGTAACTCCATCTCCTGGATCTGTTGTACAGCCCCCGATCTATATTGACAGGCATCTTACCAGATGCTGGGGTACGCAGGGTAAGAAAAAGCTCTCATTTTCCACTGTTAAGCTGAAGAGGACAAAAATGAACTAGGAAGTTAGTTCAATATCCAGTAGGATATTTCAATTTTTTTTCCAAAGTGAAAAATACTTAGTGCTTTATGTAGGACAACATTTGGACAGCAGAGACGGAATTTCTACTGTTATTTCCACACTTAAGATTAAATTCTTGTGCTAGTTCACTTGTTATTTCTGGTTAGGTAAGGCACGCACCTCCCCATGAAAACCTAATCTAAGTTTAGAGACTCATATGTAAGGAATAATGACTGTACAATGGAATGCAGTTATCAGTGCTAGTATGTGTGCCAAAGACTTACTGTTTTTCTGCAGTAATCGTGGGGAAAAGCCTTGCTGGAAAAGCCTAACTCTCTTAACTACCATGCACAAGACGAACTAAAGCAGAGTATGAACAACTGCTGCTCATAAGGATTTGTCATCTATTTAAGAAAAATGGGAGCACAGATTTTCCCAGATTCTGCATTACACACAGAGCCCAGTATGACGACATTGTGAAAAGCACACTGGCACCCCTCAGATCTCTTAAGTTAGAATATTTGCAAAGATCTAAACAAGACAGGCATGAGCTTCAGCAAGGTGTACTTCCAATTTGATGCGGGATTCACTTCATTTGTATATAAGAAATCCTATTATACAACATTTCAAAATATAACTTGTTCTGACATTTTCTTTAGCAAATACTATGAGGAACTTGAGCTGTATTCAAAAATTATTTACACTCACAAAGAAAAGAAATATATCTTCTAAAGCTTCTCAAAACTTGGGTATCAGCTTGGTACACAACTAGCAATATTTTATTCTTGACAAATTGTGTGCTTTGAGTTATCGTAAGGTCATGAATTACATTGTAATACTTAATCGTAACAATTACTGGTAGCTGTAAATTTGAAGGGAAGATCCCTAAATATTAGGAACACCCATTATGTAACAACAGAAAAGGTGTGTTTCATTCCCAGAGCAAAATTTAATCCAAAATGCCTTAGTAGAGACAACTGAGTGACAAAAATGTATCTTCTAGTTTGGACAAGTAATTCTGATAATGCAGTAATAAGAAAAAGGCTCTAATAAAACATATTGAAGTAGTTAGGAACAAGTCTTCTCAAAAGGAGATCAGTAATTCTGCCCAGGAGGGTCGTGGAGTCTCCCTCTCTGGAGACATTTAAACCCACCTGGACACTTTTCTGTGTAACCTGCTCTAGGTGGCCCTGCCTTGGCAGGGGGTTGGATTAGATGATCTCCAGAGGTCCCTTCCAACCCTAATTATTCTGTGAATTTCAAGTGTAAATGCAACTGAGATGTCAAGATACTTTGTCCTGAGTGAAGAGATACATGGTAAAGAGTGGATGTGAAAAAATCCAAACCACGAAGCCATAAATTCTGACTAAGGTGCAACTGGACTATGAGAATGACAGTGCTCTATTCTCTCAGTGCTCTGACCTACAGCAAACAAGAACTACTGGAGTGCACATGGGTGCTCCAAATGCTACAGGCACAGCAGGCACAGAATTAGCAAATCTAGTGACCCAATGCAGAACAAACCTCACGTGCAACAAAACAGAAAACACAATCATTCAATGGAGATGACTGTCATACAGAAAGTTAATTTTATAATATTTCTGAAAGATAATCAATGCAAGATTCCTGCTGGGAAAGTCTTACAGGCATTACACAAAGGTAAAGGGCTTCCAAATGATCCTATTGCAGTGAAAAGGCATTCTGATATTTAAAATATAGGTCAATCTGAGGCAAATGTCATTCTTGATTTAAAATCCCAGATTCAGGCATCAGATCTATTCAAGATAAAAAAAAAGTTGCAGTATTTTTCCTTGGTGAAACCTGGTATTCCAGGCATGTTCAGAGCATCACGGTTGTATAATTTCTTCTGGTCTTCCTTTCTTTAAGATCTGCGTTCACTTTAGGATTTTGAGTCTTCTATTAAATGTTCTCTAGCCAAACAAAAAGCTACTTAGTAATAACTGACTGGGTGCTCTATCAGCGCTCTGGTTAGTATGTGAAACTTAATGCATGCTTTCAGCCTCTTTGACACACGGTTTCAGACTGCCTCCTCATGTGCCGCAAAAGACAAGCATGCTGAGTAGGATGTGCAGGATGGCAGGTACCTAGTTTCCTTGGCCTGGATAACACTCAGACTAGATTTGAGATTAGAAATTGAGAAATTTGAAGCAGAGAAAAAATTGAGGCAAATGTCAGTTTTTGACTTGAGGGTGAGAGATATCAATAAACCCTATCGTACGTCTTTTTGATCATGAAGTCCAGCTCACAACTGGGTATACTTGCTAGCACTTACCATAATGCAAGTACATGTGCTGCATCAGGTGCTAATATTAAGTGGCAAAAGTGGGAAGGAAATAGCGTGTCTATTACTGTGATGCAGGCAAAAACAAAGGTCACAGAAACTCATCACATTTATCTTCTTTGTAAGACTTAGGTTTATTCAAGGATACCTTTCATTAGTGCCTTCCCACCATATAAGAGAGGTTGGGGGAGAGGCGTACGCCTTTATTCACCCTCTCAAGTTCCGTAGCAACTTCCTTCATAATTCCTAGCTAAATCCAGGAATATACTTCTCTAGACTGCAAAATGGTCATAATAGTTAAAAAAATTAACAGGGTTTAGACATGGAAGTGCAGTGGCTTAACTCCTGTCTCCAGCACTACAGACATTAGATGTATTGATAAGATTTCTATTCTTTGTATGATTTTCTGTAACATGAGACAAAGCTTAACAATAATAATACAGGATGCTTGTTTGAAGTTACCTGTTTGTCATCTGACATGAAGTCATCTGTTTCCAGTGTTCTGCTATTGTAAAGCTTTCCAGAGAGCAGCACATTAAACTTACAATAACGATTCAATTCACAGGCATGACAAGACATGTATTTTGGGCTTTTCAAGGTTATGCGAACATTCGAGTAACAATCCACACGTTCCTGAAAAACAGATTTCAAATAACATTAAAGAATCCTCTTGAACTGAAAGACGCCTGAATTCGGCTGCTGAGTACTCTGTACTCACACAAGATTAGTGTAAGTGAAAGCAAGGAGATTAAAAATTTGAAGTCTTTCACCATTAAGTTGTGAACATGTACCTCCTCAATCATTTTCCAAAACTCCACTCAGTTCTAGTTCATTAATACTTTCTTTTAACTCCAGACCTAAGGAATGGATTCTGCATCCTTGCACTTAATTTAATCTTGCCTCCTTTCTTTTTTTGGAGGGGGTGGGTGTGCAACTGTATCAGTTGGCCTGCTTCAAATAAATACACTGTATCTCTCCACTGGCCACACTTATTACAGTGACATGTTACCCTAATACTATTTCAGCAATTTGTATGCAATGACTGGGGTACTCTATATTCACTTCAGGGTTTTTTAAGCAGTAGAAGGTTCATTATGAACATACTAGTTTATCTTTTTTGTGAGAGGAAGAAGAAATTTTGTTATAACATTTAGCAGGTAACAAAAAAATCTCAGAAAGTCATCTGCTGAATTAGCAGAAGCAGCATTCAGGTAATTGAGAAGAGATTCTGTTCTGTTACCTGAATGCTTATCAGGTTATAAACATATAAAATACTTCTGATATAAATATCAAAATAATCAGAATAAATAACAGAAGCATCAAAACAAGTTACATAAGTTAAAGAATGACTTTCTATTAAAAATGAGTACATATATACACACACACACACACAGAGCACTTATTGTATCTTTACAGAGAATTACAGTATAACACCCCCCCACCCTGCCCCATCAGTAATAGTATGACTTGGAGACCACGTCTCTCTTGAAAGTAGAAGCTGCATACCTTGTATCGATCTTTCCAACGACTTCCAGAGACTAAGTTCTCAAGACGAGGCTGAATGAAGCGGTCATCCAAATAATGAAGTGAGAGCAACATATCCTGTGCATACTTCTTATGTCTTGTTCCATCTGTTAATTGAGAGTTGTTATTAATTTGCTGCCAACTCTATGTTGTACAAGTTTCTTCAAATAAAATTTTCAAGGACGTTATGCTTCTGTTTGCTAAGAACTAGGAATTATTTTATTAGATTATCCCTGAATACATTTGCTACTGTTATCCATAAAAGTGATCCATGCAGCTTTGATAAAATGACATATTTAATTATTTTAAAAGTCTGTGTCGCAAGAGGTACATGTGTAAACTCTACAATCAATATTACAGTGAAAACTGGCATCCCAAATGGAGAGCCATTCACTCAATCCTATTTATAAGAATGGAAAAGTGGGGAGGGAAAATGAGTGTCCTGCTTTTTGTCCAGTTTATGTAAGTGTTCATAATGTACAAGGGAAGAGATTGCAATCCATGAAAACAAACACCTCTGAGCTGCTTCACAGAAGAAATTCTGAGAACTCTCTTCATCACTAAGAAAGAGCATGCAGGAACCGGCCTTTACATTACATCAGCACAGGCAGATGCCTTGAGTTAATCAGCATAAGTACTTCTAAATATTTACTAAACAAAAGAAATAAATGAGTGTGAGGATGGGTAAACCCACCACTATTCCACAACTGTCTCCCAAACATGTGCTGGACTCTAGGAATTAAACTGGACTTTCATAGGTCTAGGCTAATTCATACTTACCTTGAGCTTCAGCACGTACAGACATGCAAGTTAATTCAGTTACTTTCCTGTGTCTTTTAGCAATGCTGTTATCAAAGGAAACACGACCAAGATGGACTACTGGCTATCTAGCTTTTTATATAAGACCAGCTGTCATTATAGACACCATAATTACAATTGTTTTTCCATATACACTTTACACATTTTCAGTAAATCAGCTACGCTAAGAGCTTGAAGAGACTGTGACAGACCATAAAGAAATCCTTCGCAATAAAAAAGCAAGCCTGCACTTGATTCAAACTCTGTCAGATATTCACTTCCATTAACTCAGAAAAAATCCACACTGTGTTATAAAATACATCTTTGTAATGCTGGGTTGCGTTCATACTATACCATGTTCCTCAGAAAGACATACAACCTTCAGAATACAACTTCCAACTCACCCACACACTACTCTACTTCCAGCATCTTGGCAATAAGTTGTTAGCTTTATAGAGCAGATACAATTTGAAATAGAAAGAAGCTATTACAACATCAGTTTGGCAAAGTTTACTTATTACTTTCCATAAGCTTGTTTTTACTTGGTAAAACAAAACGGAACTAACACGTGAAAGAACTAGCAGTGGTAGATGAAAGACATTTTTAGCTCCAGGAATACAGAGCCTTTATTCTGAAGTCTCTGGTATACTTCAGTTTCTCTGCTCTCTCTAGCTCCTGATGACACCAAAACTTCCTCTCTTTGGCACTCTGCTGACTCCTTCCACAACCTGATGCTGATAATCCTCTCCCATTAATCCCATCTTTACAGTGCTTCTGAAACTACGTGTGAGGTTGCCATTCAACACCACTAGGCCAAGTGCCAAAAAGCATTTCCTCAGCAAGAACAAGGCCAGAACTGACTGCCACTGAAATTTATCTGAAAGCATGAATGTTTAAAGAAAAGAATAATAATAATAAAAAAAAAAAAAAATCAGATACGGAATAATTTCCATAAATAAAATTATTTATTAGCTATCAAATTCCTCAAAAAAAGCTATGAAGCGTGTGAAATTATGACAGATCAGCTGATCTCGCAATGTTTTCCTTGAGATATCTACTTCTAAACTAATTTTGCTTTCATGCTAGAACTGTTACTGCTGATCAGTAAGACAGAAACACTTCCCTATATATCAGAATGCCTCCTAGGATTAAAGGAATTAAGTCTACACATTTTTCCACAATTACTCTATCCCCTTTCAGAAAGATTTCCCGCTGCCCCCAAGTCAGAGAGCAGCAAAACCAAAACCAGATCTCAGGACTCACAGTGCTATAATCAGGAGACACATCTTTCCCTAGAATAAATGTCTTTATATAACTTTGAATGCACTATTGTATTATTTAATGTGATTTACTTACCATATAATGAGCTCAGAAAAGTGTCATCAATTGCATTTATGAGGAAAGCCTTTACTATTCTTTTGAAGTGTACATAATGATCACAGCGAGATACTGGGAAGAAAGCAATATAACCAGAGTTTACCAAAAGAGAAAAGAAGAAGTAAGCAATGTTAAAAGTCTTTTAAGAAGAATTCTTTTCTTCCATTATCACAAATTTAGAATTTTAAAGTCACTTAAAACTGGCTTTAAAACTCATTTCAATATACAACATCCACATCTTTAAGACCTTGTTTTTACACAGTGCTTCTCATCCCAAAAATCTTAATGAATTTTAGCATTTTTAAGTCACACATCCTTTCAGCAAGAAGAGCTACAAGCACTAAAAGAAGAAAGTAATTCTATGAATAGCAGGAAATAATGCAAACCAGAGAAGGCCAGGCTTATTGCTTTGGGTTTTTTTTGTTCATTTTTCTGTTTTCTAATTTTCTTTCAAATACAAATATTCTGCTCAGGTCTTTACTGGGGAAAAAATAACACGGCTGTGACCATCTACACCAGTGCTGACTGTTCTGTCAGTACATACTTGCTTCTGAATAACAAGATACACAAGAAGATGACTAGCATAGTGTTTCGGATCCCTCTGCTCCATCTAGATACCAGTTTTTACAAAAGAACAACTTGAAACATTTATCTCACTCTCTGCAGTTTGGCTGAAAACATCTCCTAAATTCAGAACCCTACCCCCCAGAGACTTGTGCTCCTCCATCTCAACAGCCATCAAATGAAAATACATTAAAAAAAGAAATTAATAAAAATCCCAAGTCCCCAAAACCATGGCAAGAATTTTACATCAATCTCCAGAACAGAATATGGCCAGAATTAACACAGCTGCTCTCAGCATATATCTTAAGATGGAGGATGCTTTTAGGCCTCCACAGGAATGACTGCTTCATAGGTAGCCTATTTCATCCTAAATTAGATCAACTTAAAAAAACTGCAATAGGGTTTCCTTTTCTTCCCTCCAAATCATACCTTCCCTTTAATAAGATACAGAAAGACTGTAAAAGTTTACTGTGGAAATCCACAACAAATTCAAGCCTTTTAGGGATCTGCTTTTAAACTATGCTAGCCTATGTTATAATTATTTTCACTCCATTAGTATTTATTACATCACTACAAGCAAGCTGTACATACAGAATTGTCACTAGTTTTGATCTTACAGTTTGGGACACAGTTTGCCAGCAAACTATTTGATCCATTCAGTTCCTTGTGTTGTGGCTCGTTTTCACCCATTACATGCTTTGTGTCATCATCATCATCATCTTCTTCTTCCTCTACTATAAAATCTTTCAAGCTGTTGCAGTCAGTTTCACTACCTTCTGTGGGTGTGAGGGGCAAGTGAGAGAACGGCTCCTCCTCCATTTCTGCTTCACTACTAGAATCCTAAGGAAATTTAAAAAAGTATTTCAAACACAAGAATTTTCAGTATTTGCAGTGACAAAATACTACATATACTGGATAAGATTTCTGCCCTTCTAATTGCACCTTTCATTCAATTAACAGAAATACTGTTTCCAAAAAATACATCATTCCGTGCTAGAGGACAATTACTTGGCCATCTCCATGTACCCCTCTTCAGGCTATTTGTACGAATTAAGCTAACATGAGCTCTCTAAGTTACTTCAGCAGGTATTTTGCTTCTTGATAAAAATAACTTGATGGTCCTGTCACGTTAAAGAAGAGAGTCCTTTTCATGATACAGAACTGTTTCATTTCTGACTACGTAGAGAAGATACCTGCATTCTAAGCTGCTTAGTCATCAGAATGCCTGAAAGAGCAAATGAAATTCTTAACTCTTCAGTGATTAAAATTAAACCAAAGAAAGGTTTTCAGCAGTCAATATTGTTTTCTTGTTAATGTGACAACTGTTAAAATGTGACAGAACTACTGATTTGTCAGAAATAAAAAAAAACTCAAAATAAATAAAATCCTACTGATTTATATCAATTTGATTTTATACCCATTTTATACCCTATTCTATGATTTGTCTTCCCTTACATTCAATATTTTCTCTAACTGAATTTCAAAGGTAAAATCCAGACCTCACAATTTTCACTTCTGCCAGATCTCCAGGTTGTTTGTCTTGCAAGCTGTTTCAATTTTGCAAACACTTTCTTATTAGTAGAACCATTTTCTGTAGAGCAGGTTTTATCAGGTTGTAGTTCTCTGGAATTCTCATCTTCATCTATTATACAGTGGCGCTTGGCAAAAACTTTTCTAACAAGTATATCACTGTCCTCACTTTCATCACTGTCATACAAGACAGATGAGTTCAACCTTTTGCGCTTTCCAGGCACAATGCACTCCTCATCCTCACTACTGTCTGTTACTTCCCCATTGTGACTTTTCTCTTTGTGACCCGAAAGGCTGTTCTTCACAGCAGTTTCATCTTTGTCATCTACTTCATCTTCTGATGTACTAGGCTCTTCCTCCTCAGAGGTACCCGAGGATTCATCATTACTGTCAAGTAGTATGAGCTCCCTCTTAGTGCGTCTCCAATCAACTCGGGATCTGGATGATGACAGTTCTGTTGCTGCTGTTTTATTTCTTGTTTCATACCTTCTGACTACTTTTATCTCCATTGGAAGGCTGTAACAACACACTTAAACATACACAAGTAAAATAGAACACTTACTACATTATGCCATTAAAAAGAGAAAGAAAAAAAAAGTTAAAAGGGTATTATGTATTTTGCCACATATACTTATGACTTACTATCATTAATAGACACACTCAGAAATCAGCACCAACCAAAACTAAGCATGCACAGTAACTTCTGTAGACGACATGCCTTACTCAAAAGGAAGATGAAGAGCAGAACTACCCACACCCAGCGTGAATGAACGGTAAAAATCAGACATGGAGTGCAGCTACAGGCCCCATCATCCGCTCAACACGGGCAGGAAGCCTACACCTGAGGCAGAGTGATTCCCTGCCCCTGAGCCGTACACCGCTCCTTCAAGACCACCTCACCAGGCCCCACAGGGGAGCGTCCTCATCTGTAAGGGACCTCCCCACGCAAGCTGTAGGGCCCGATTCTCCCGCCCCCGCCGCTATGCCCAGAGGCTCCCTGAGGCGAAGCGACAGCACAACGAGTGCTGGCCCCGGGCGAGCTGAGCTCCTGCCGCCCCGGCGCACACAGACCTGCCGCCGTCCCTCAGCGCCCGTCACTTTTACCGTTAGCGTTCCCGCGCTCCGGTGCCGCAGCCGCTGAGGCGAGACTCCGACCCACCCCCTCTCCGCGCGCCGCGATTGGCCACCGCCTCTGCCACTCAGCAGTCGTGATGTTTACGGAAGTGCTGGCGGGAGGCGCGTCATGTGGTGTGCGGGGGGTGCCGGGCAGTGCTGGAGAGCCGGAGTTTCCGGGTTCGAGTCCTGATCGCGCCGTATGAGGAAGCACGCTTCGCTCTCCGCTCTTCCGGCAGTATTCGGGTGTGCAAGTTTAGTTGTCTGGTGCCGTGACTCGGATAAGGAACGGTGGGCTTTGGTCCTCCGGGGAGGCGCCCCGCGATGTTTCGCGGCCCCGCGACCAACCGCTTACCCCAACCTTACCGACGAACCTAAATTCTAGAATAATGAGCAAAGGAGAAACCGGTAAAATCCCATAAAATTCTGTGCACGGGAGTCCGGACGAAGACGCAGGACGCGTAAGTATATTGCGAAATTGTTCGCAGGTTTGCCGTTCGGGCGGGATTGGGTTTCCTGGAATATAACGAGTGAGAGGTTCGATATACTGAACCAAGCGAGTGTGGACCCTTAAGTACTGCGTTTCCCATCTCCCGCGAGGGAGTGAGTGAGTGTATGTTTGTGGATATTCCAGAAGATGGGGGCGAAGGGCAGCAAGCCTTCGACTCCCATGGGAAGGGTACCCATTGTACCTAAGAATACCCCTCTGGCATATATCTTAGACA